ACTTCAACTCCCAGAATCCCCCAGCCAGCATGGAAGGAAGGAAAAAGGCTTGGGAAGGGCTGGGTTAGGAGCTATATCAGGGTGTCCAACCTTGGCCACCTTAAGACACATGGACCAACTCCCAGAATTCCCTAGGCAGCATGGAATTCTGGGGAGTTGGTCCACAGGTCTTCAAGTGGTCAAGTTGGACATTACTGATCTGCAGTCTGACCTGGGCATTCAGGAAGCACCAACCTTTTCTTCAGCCTCTTGCTGACAAAGAACATGGCAGCCGCCCCCACGTATTTGGCAAAAAAGCCTTCCACCAAGCCAAACTTCCCTTCCCGCACGATGTAGTCGAAGGAGGCCAGGGATTCCCCCGGCGTGCGGTAAACGTTGGGGGAGATCAAGTGGACCAGCCGATCGTCCACCCACTTCCGCCATTTCATTTCTTCCCTGGGAAAAAAAAAACAGCAGGAAGTGAGAGAGTCCCCCCTGCGTGGCAAGCAGGAAGAATATTGTGGCCCGCCAGCGGCTAGCGGAGCTGGCAACAGAGTGGGACAGTGAGAAGGTTGGGGAGGAACAAGGGCCAGTCCTGGAGGCTGAGGAAGGCTCTGCGTCAGAGGCAGAGATTGGGCCGGGGCAGGCTGGCAGTCGTCAGCTGCCTTCGGGCTCAGATAGCAGTGAGGCAGAGGAACAGCTGGAGCCGGTTCCCAGCCTGCGCATGCACAGAGCTGTCAAAAGAAAAAATACGAACTAAGGGTTGACATGGGAATCAGGCCACAGGTGGACAATGAATGGCCCCTCCCATAGGGATTAAAAGAGGAGCCAAGGGGGAGGGGGCTTTTGCAGGAAACAATTCCTTCGTTGCCGCAGTGTGAAGATCTGTCTGTGCATCTCAGAGACTCTGTGCGGAGTCCTTCCTTGTCAGCACTGCGTTTGGAAATATTTACTTGGCAGTTCTCCAGGCTAGATAAGGTCTGTGTTTATAATTAGACCCTGGAAAGACTCAACAAGACTCCCCATCAAAAAAAAAAAAGATTTCTTTTTTTAAAAAAAGGTAGACAGGCCTTTTTTTAACAGCAATCTGGGCAGAAAGACGCATCTAAAAACCACAGTGGGTTCCTCTGGATTTTTTGCACCTTCCTCCTCCTAAGTTCAACTTTGCAAACTTCACTGCCCCTCCAAAACCCTCCAAGTGAGATCCACTTACTTCCTTGCTTCCTCGACAGGATAAACGCAGAGAGCTTCCTTGCTGTCCAGCATCAACCAATACTTGTTCCCAAAGTCGTTCACTTCCTTCCCTTCGCTATTTATGGCTTTTATGGAAGGGTAGTAAGAGGCAATTTCTTCCAAGCTCTTCCTAGAAGAATTATGTCCCTGTCAATTGCAGGCTCAGATCTTTCCTTCATAATAACAGTTACACTTGTAAGCCGCCCAGAATCGCTGTATACGGCACGGATCATCATCTTTTAACAACCCTACATAACCCCTTGCATAGAGGTGGAGTCTAGGCAAGTGGATGGAGCTGAGCGTTTAATAGCCGGATGCCCTTCCTGTCCCCAATGAGGAGGGTATTTTTTTCAGCAGATAAATTCTCATTGTGTCCAGAGAGACCAATATCTGCCTCTACCTGGGATTGAACTCACAGCCTTCCAATTGTGAAGCGAGAACTCCACATTTAGGCCACCATACATAAGATAAGATAAGATAAGATAAGATAAGTTAAGTTAAGTTAAGTTAAGTTAAGTTAAGTTAAGTTAAGTTA